TTTAATGACATATTTTTATCTTGAGTTACATCAGATGGGTGTTAAAACAGCATTTCTCAATGGTGACATTGATGAGATGATGTACATGGTGCAACTAAAAAATTTTGTATTTGGAGATGCCCATTAAATAGTTCGCAAATTAAAAAAATCCATCTATAGACTTAAACAGACTTTTCATCAATGGTATCACAAATTTCATCAAGTCATCATCTCGTTTGGTTTTGAGATAAATTTAATGAAAGATTGTGTATACCATAAGTTCAGTAAGAGTAAGTATATTTTTTTAGTTTTATATTTTAATAACATACTGCTTACTAGTAGTAATATAGACTTATTGTATGAAACCAAGAGATTTCTATCAAATAAATTTGAGATGAAAGATTTTGGGGACATCTCTTTTATATTAGGGATCCAGATACACCGAGATTGCTCTCGAGGTATTCTTAGATTATCACAAAAAAGTTATTTTAAAAATATTCTTAAAAGGTTTAGCATGCAGGATTGTAAACTAGGTGATTCTCTTGTATCTAAAGGAGATAAGTTTACTCTAATTCAATGCTCCAAGAATAAACTAGAGACTATAGAGATGCAAAGATTCCTTATGCTTCAGTTGTATGGAGTTTTATGTACGCACAGGTTTGTACACGTTTGGATATTGCATACATTATTAGGATGTTAGGTAGATATTTAAGCAATTTATGTATGGATCGTTAAAAAATAGTCAAACGTGTCATGTGGTATCTATAAAAAACAAAATGTTATATGCTCACATATAAGGTATCATGTTAGTTGGAAATCATTGGTTATTCTGATTCTGATTTCATCGGATGTCAAAATAGCATAAAATCTACATCAAACTATATCTTCTTGTTTGCTGGGGGAGCTGTTTTCTAGAAGAGTGCTAGGCAAATACTTGTAGCCTCTTCTACTGTGGCTGCAAAGTTTGTAGCTTGTTATGAGGTATCCAATCATGGAATATGGCTGCGAAAATTTTTCACTTGGCTGTGTATTATTGATGGCATAGAAAGACCATTAAAGTTATTTTTTAACAATAAATCAGCAGTTACGTATTTCAACAACAATAAGAGCTTGACGAAGTCAAAATATATATATATATCAAGTTTCTTGTTGTTAAAGAAAGAGTTCAGAGTAAGCAAATATTAATAGAGTATATTGAAAAAAAAAACTTCATGATTGCTGATCTGCTCACTAAGAGATTACCACCAAAGATAATTCATGAGCACACTGCTCATATGGATGTTGTATCCTTAGATAATGTATAGGTTTAGTGGGAGTCTTGTACCATAGTTTCATTTATTTTATAAGACATGTCATAAATTTTATATTTTGGTTTTAGTTTTGGTTTATGTATGCATAGTTTAATTCCAGTTTTGTGTTTTTGTTTATATATATTATCTCTGAGTTTTCTTACATTTGATCTCACTAAAATTAAGGCAAGACCTATTAAAAATATACATGATTAGATCACATAGCATGTAATTTCCATGTTGTACATCCATGTTTGATCCATATCGTTCGGTTATAATGATATACGTAACCATTGATGAGTTTAGCTACGTTAGATGTAGTGAAGACTGCTTTGATCTTATGTCATTATGATCGATGGACGAGATTATTTGGTGATGCATTCAAGTATTGATAGCACAATTCTGAGCACTTCTACGGTTATTTAATGCATAATTAAGGTGTCACATAAAGCTCAAGTGAAAAATTGTTGGATTTTTTCTAGCATGCGGGCTTAATGTGGAATTTAGTATGTGTATTAAACTATTAATTTAATGAGCTTGTCTAAAAGTAATCAAATATACTTAACAATATTTGGACTTAATAGATCAGGTTGAAATATGGGTTTGTAATGTGCAGATACCATTTTTGTAATATTCTCGTTTTATGATGGGTGAAATAGAAATTGTAAAAGTTTGTCGATATAAAAGGCGGTTATGGTCTCCGAATCACAATATCACCATTTTATTTTTTTTTGAAATTCTGTCACCAAAAAATTTATCTTTTGAAGCATCGTATTGATTCGGAAGTACCTACTGCAGAACGCAACCAAATCTTCCGCAATGGATCCATGTACGCTTCTTTTTATCTTTTCTCATTGATTCAGTGCGAAGATTTACATATTTATTAATTTAAAAATTATTTTTTTTATTCTAACAATGCTAGTGATGAGATCGGATTGTCTCACGTTTATAAAAAAATTGTTAAGAAGTTCTAGTTTTAGATTATAGAAAAAAATGTTAAAAATAATAATTTATAAATTAAGGAAATTCTTTATCTTATTAAGATATTAAAAATAATATTTGTAAATAAAAGAGATTTTTTATCTTATCAGAAGTTTAAAAAAATAATTTACAAATTTTTATATTATAACTCGTGAGTTAAAATTGATTATGATTTTTATAATTAGAATTTTAAGAATTTTGTTAGTGTCTATATATATTCATGTATTTGAAGATTTCTTTACAACAATTACAACTGAAAAATTAACTCTTTCTATTAATCTCTCATTTTTCTTTTATCCATTTCCTATAAAGTATTACTTAGAACTAATCTAAAATTATGGGGTTAACTTCGCTTCTGGTGGAGGTGGTGTTCTGCCTCAAACATATTCAGGCTATGTACATATACATCTTCTACACTAATTCCTTCAGTATATTACTAGGTTTTCTTTCTTTTTTTTTTATGGGTTTAACCAATTTTTGGAGACGGAAAAAACTTTATATCTTTGTTTCTGGTGGAGGTGGTATTCTGCCTCAAACATATTCAGGCTTTATATACATACATCGTCTACACTAATTTCTTCAGTACTTTACTGGGTTTTCTTCATTTTTTTCCTGGGTTTATCCAATTTTTGAAAAAGGAAAAAACTTTAATCTTTGTTTCCGCTGGATGGTGGTATTCTGCCTCAAACCTATTTAGGCTTTATACATATACATCGTCTACACTAATTTCTTCAGTACTTTACTTGATTTTCTTTATTTTTTTCTGGGTTTAACCAATTTTTGAAAAAGACAAAAACCTTATCTCTTTCTGTCCCAGGCAATAGATCTGAAGACTCAACTAAGCCAGTTCAAGAACGTAGAGAAAGTCCTGAAAGAGAAGCTAGGAGATAAGGAAACTAAGAAAGTGTTTTCCAGGGCGGTTTATCTCTTCAATATTGGAGCCAATGATTACATATATGCATTGACTGTAAACAGAAGTGTGTTTCAGTCCTACACTAAAAAGGAATTTGTAGAGGAGGTTATTGGCAGCCAAATTGATGTGATAAAAGTATATATATATATATATATATTTATTTTCTTTACATGTATGTATATGTGTATATATATGTGTGTGTTTTTTTCTTTCTCTGCATTAGTTGATTATTTGTAATGGGTATTTTGGCAGGAAATATATAAGATTGGAGGGAGGAAATTTGGGTTGGTGGGAATGGGACCTTTGGGTTGTTCACCGGGCGTTGTAGTGAAGAATCATGAACAAAACAGCAGAGAATTTTCTTGCGACAAACGAGTCACACAACTTGTGAAATTGCATAATCAGATTATCTCTACAGTCCTCATCAACTTAAGTTGCCAACTACAAGGATTGAAATATGGAATCTTTGATCTATATGTCTCTCTCCGCGAAAGAATCAGTCACCCTTTGAAATATGGTAGTTATATGTGTGTGTATATATATATATACATATAGAAGATGTTTGGCTCTGCTTTTGATTTTAATTTTTATGTTTCAGAACTAATTTTTATAATAAAACATAACAAAATACTTTTGACAAGTTAGAATTTAGTTTTGATAAATTCAAAGATAAAACATAGAATACTTACTTTTTATAAAATGATTTTGGTTTTTATTTATAATTTACATTTAAACTTTCAAAATTCTTTTTTTTTTTTTTGTTGTAAACAACAACATTTTTTTTTTATAATTATTTCTACCAAATACTACATAATCTTTACTAATATTATTTTTATTGAAAATCTACTTTGACAATACTTATAGAAATTACAGTACAAGTTACAAGCACTATAAATATCACTAAATTAATGTGAATTTGTTGGATAGGTTTCAAAGATGGGAAGACAGCATGTTGTGGGAGCGGTCCATTTAGAGGGAATTACACTTGTGGAAAAGGTGAAAAGTATGTTGTCTGTGAAAATCCTAATGAGAGAGTATTTTATGACTCGTACCACCCAACACAGAAAGCTTACCAGCAACTTGCTGAGTTGATGTGGAATGGAACTCCAAGTATCATCCAACCTTATAACCTAAAAACACTTTTCTACCTTATAAATTTATAATATTAACCAAGTAATTTGCATGCTATCATTCACTTAACGATGGAACAAGTTTTTAGTTCGATAATTCGTACATCTCTTTCCCTATAAAAAATTATAAATTCAAATCAGATTATGTACTCTCACTATGTTTTACAAGTTATATTAAGATTATTGTGTATGTTTTACTTTTTAAATACCTATATATATATACTTTATAAATAAATCTCATCATTTGCTTCCTCCATATTGTATGTTTGTAGGCATTTAACCCTACTAAAATTTATACTATAAATTATAAAAATAATATTAATGTAACAGCTCGAAACTTGAAAAGGTTGAATAAAGATTCATGCGTTGTAGGGACATCCCTACAAACCCCCATAAATACCAATAGACTGATAAAGAAAAAAGTTGTTGTTTCGATTGATTGAATATGAGATTATAGTATTGTTTATGTTATTGACTCTGTAGGTCGGTTTTTCAAATGATTTTATTTATGAAAAACGAATTTACTTAAATTAAAAGCTCTATTAGTTGTTTTTATAATTTTTACTAACCTTCATTTCTGTATCGGTAAGTAACGTGATATTTTTAGTAGACTATGTAGTTCACTCTTTCATTAACCATTTCAAATCAAGAGAACCAAGATCCAGAGCCCGATTCACAATAGGGTTGCAAATAGGACGTTCAATTTGTTTACTTTTTATTTATTTCTTTGATTATTAATTGTTCTTTTAGAATGGTCATTCTTATAGCTCTATTGGGTATCTTGAATTATTGTGCAAGGAATGTCAAATTTTAGTGGAACGAGAAATGTGAAAGAAATTTTTTAGAACTAAAGAAATAGCTGACTACTGGACCTGTGTTGGCCTTGTAGAGCGGGTCGGATGGATGTACAGTTTATAGTGATACCTCTTACTTAGAGTTGGGTTGTGTTTTAATGCAGCATGAGAAAGTTATAGCCTATGGATTGAGACAGTTGAAGAGTCATGAGAAAACTACTCCACCTATGACTTAGAACTTGTCGCGATTATGCACGCCTTGAAGACTCGGCGTCATTACTTGTATGGGGAGACCTTTCATATCTATATCGACCATAAAAGCTTGAAACACAAATTCACTCAAAAGGATCTCAACATATGTCAAAGAAGATTGATAGAACTTTTTAAGGATTATGATTGCATTATCTTGTATCACTCGGATAAAAGTAACATGGTAGCCGACGCACTCAACAGAAAAAGTGTATGTATATTAGCTCACTTGATGGTTTCAGAATGTAGGACAACAAGGGCCACACAGTACGTACAACTTCAGGACCTGAAGAGAGTCACATATTCGGCCTACCTAACGGTTCAACCTAAGTTGATCCAGAGAAAAAAGGAAGCCCAATCTGCCGATTCCACCCTAGTAGCCCTCAAGAAAGATGTAGAACAGGAAGTTAATTCAAAATTTCAAGTTTCTACTGATGGGTTACTTAGATTTCAGGACAGAGTATGTGTTCCATGTGACAGTGCGCTGAAAAGGGACATCATGACAAAGGCCCATAACTCAAAGTTTATCATGCATCCCAGAAGCACTAAGATGTATCAAAGTATGCGACTTTGATTTTGGTGGAACGGGATGAAAAGAGATGTGGCCGACTTTGTTTGCAAGTGTTTGGTATGTCTGCAAGTTAAGACAGAGCATCAAGGTCCAAGCGGACTACTTCGACCACTACAAATCGCGGAGTGGAAGTGGGAACATATCATGATGAATTTTATGATAGGATTGCCTAGGACACGCTTAGGACATGATGCCATTTGGGTAATTGTTGACCAACTCATAAGGTCTTCCCACTTCTTAACCATCAAGATTACCGACCCCTTGTACAAGCTAGAAAGAATGTATATCCGAGAGATAGTCATGTTACATGGAGTGTCAGTGACACTAGTGTCCGACAGAGACCCTAGGTTCACTTCTCGGTTATGGTCTAGTTTTCTGCAGGGCATGGGAATGAAATTGTTCCTTAGTACTGCATTTCACCCTCAAACCGATGGACAATTAGAAAGAACGATATGCACACTAGAGTTATTGAATTCGGAGGTCATTGGGATGATCATTTACCCCTGATAGAGTTCGCCTACAATAACAATTACCAAGTAAGTATTGTCATAGCTCCGTACGAGGCGTTGTATGGCCGCCCATGCAGATCATCGATTTGTTGGGAAGAGGCAGGTGATAGAAAATTATTTAGTCCAGATCTTATAGATGAGACTACACCAAAAAAAGTTAAGATCAGGAAGAACATCCAGAAGGCTCAGAGCATGCAGAAGAGTTATGCAGATACCCAGATGAGGAATTTGGAATTTGAGAAAGGTGATCGGGTATTCCTTAAGGTCACTCCGTTCAAGAGAATCAGTAGGTTTGACAAGATGGGGAAACTAAATTTCTTATTTATTAAGTCATTTGAAATTTAGACAGAATTGGTACCACCGCCTATAGACTGGTACTTCCTCCAGAACTTTTCAGGGTCCATAACGTATTTCATGTTTCCATGCTATGCAAGTACAACCCGAACCCCTCTCACGTCTTGACCCACGAACATCTTTCACTCCAGGAGGATCTGTCCTACGAGGAGGTATCGGTCGGTATTGTGGACTGAAAGAGCAGAGTACTATGCAACTAAAAAATTTCCTTTATTAAGGTCCTATGGCAGAATCACATACAGGGAGAGGCCACATGGGTGCTAGAATAAGATTTCAGAGCCCAACATTCCCAAATGTTTGATTGAGTGAGAGGGAGACAAATTTGAGGAACCAAATTTCTTTTAATTGGAGGAAGAATTGTAATACCCTTAATTAATTTTAATATAATTAAAGTTAATGTATAAATATAATTTTTTAAATTTTTGAACTTTTATTTAATGTAAAAATGAGGTAAAATAGGTGGAGGATGAAATTGAAAATAATTTTAGAAAAAAATGGTGAAAATTTGGGGTCGAATGTGTTTTTGAAAGAAAAATCGAAAAATTGGGGTAAAAATATAATTTTAGAAAAATGTGCTACGTTGGACGCCTAGTCAGTAGCCCCGATGAACCGGAGCACGCCGCGTGGCAAGGTACGCCGACGCGGTGCCACGCGGAAGGCCACGCTAGTAATCTGCATGACCGCAATCGGATGGTTCGGATTTGTTCCTGTGCGTGTGGACGGTCTGGATCCGTTCTTCCTTTAAACGCGATTGTATGGTTTAGATCAAATCACGATGAACGGTTCAGATCTATTTTTTATTTAAATGCGATCGGACGGTCTAGATCAAATCGCGATGAACGGTGCATATTCACTTTGTATTTAAACGCGATCAGACAGTTTAGATCAAACGCGATGGACGATCCAGATTAAAAGGAGACGGATATAAATACCGCACCTCGCACCAAACCCTAACCGCCGCGGCGGAGCCACTTCTGACCATCAAAAGAGGTAAAAAAAAATTTATTTGCTCAAAATTCGATTTCGAACACCCCCATAGCCAAATCGGAGCAAAAAGACCGATAGATGAACCGAAAACTGCAAGTAAAGCCCGACGACGTCGTTGCAAGAAAAAAGTAAAAATTACCTCGGATGAGGCCCTTCTTGATTCTCCTTCTGTGCAATTTTTTCACTATTGTAATCATATTCATTTTTCTACAGGTTAATTGAAGCAAAACACCCAACCGTGAAGGTGAGCCGGCAGATCCACTGCACTGAAAATCCCACCACCGGTAAGCTTATGTTTTTCAATTTTTTTGACCAATCGATGCCTCTTAACGTATTTTCTCACAGAGAACAGTACAAAACCGGCCAAAATCGGCTGAAACTGGCTGAAAACGACCAACTCGAGGCAAACCGCCATTGCGGGTAGTGGTGCCGTCGCTGGAGCATGGCAGCGCTGCCATGCCAAAATCCTGAAATTGGTCGAAAAGGGTTTCTAATACCGATTTTAGATTTTTGGGGTATTTATAGATACTTGGAGTGTGTTTTAATCCCCGAAAGAAAATTCAGGGAACCCGGAGATCGCCAGTAGGCACAGCTGCAAGTTTAGCATTTTTGACACCGATCCAAGTAAGAATCCATCACCTTATTCTCTATTATGGAATTAAAGTTTAATTATAAATAATATGGTATTTTGTTTAATTTAAAAATATTGATCATTAAAGGTTACAAATGGAGGTAGAACTGGTTATTTATTTCTGTTTGCCATGTTTAACTAATTGATTGATTTTACAGTTTCGAATGCATGATAATACTCTGGAATTGGTATGATAATTCGATTGTGTTTCCTTGATGCATATATTGTTTGTTTTACGTGATTTACAGTTAATTGGAAAACTGAAAACTAAAGGTAAACGAAAAATTATTTAATTAAGTGAATTGATGAATTGTAGCCTTACTAGATATCTTGGAAAATGGTGGACGGACTGGGTACATAGGAAACCCTACTGTGAACATTCCCTCATACCGGACGGGGTATCAAGGATTTGTATTTTGGTGCTCATACCGAACGGGATATGGAAACGACTCGTTTCACACTCACATCGGACGGGGTATTAAGGGATGGTATATTTTGGCGTTCATACCGGACGGGGTATAAGGATGGTTCGTTAGTTGAAAATGTGGAATAAAAGTTCACGTATTGTGGAAACATCCTTATAAACCTCAATGGATACCAATAGGTTAATAAATGAGAAAGTTATTGTTTCGACTGATTGAATATGAGATTATAGTATTATTTATGTTATTGCCTCTATAGGTCGATTTTGCAAATCTCGCTACGGTAAGTATGCGGTAAATGGTTTTATTCATGAAAAATGAATTTACTTTAATTGAGAGCTCCATTAGTTATTTTTATGATTTCTACCAATCTTCATTTCTGTATCGATGAGTAGTCTGATATTCTTACTGGCCTAGTGTAGCTCACTCTTTCATTAATCATTTCAGATCAAGAGAACCAAGATTTAGAGCCCGATCTACAAGAGGGTTGTGAGTAGGACGTTCAGTTTGTTTACT